TTGTTACCATTCCAGTAGCTCAAATCATACTCACCATGCACGATCTTAGTTTTAGGAAACTTCTCGCCAAGTGCCACACACATTAAAACAGAGAGGAGTATTGTCAACCAACAGTTAATCTCCGTTTTACGAATCTTTATACCGTGCAGAAATAATCAACCTCGCTCCTGTGATTTGGTTATCAGAGACAATTATTGCATCCATCCAACATCGTGAGTAAGAATTCATTTCACTCAATTTAGTGTCAGATTCAGCCACCGGAATTCAACATCTTTTATCGTAACTCACATAAATCTCTATGTTGATTATTCCACATATCAAAAATGTTTAATTCACCTTACGCAATTAAATTCAATTATTATCTAAAAAACAATGTTTTTGACAAGCAAAGGGACGCTATCTGTCGTTAATTATGATCGTGGCACAGTAAACAAGGAAGATAGATCCGCATACTGTTAATACTAATTTAGAATATAACTGTCATCATTCCTATGTACAATTGTGTAATGTACAATATTTTATTTTCAATTGTTAAAATAAGTACCGGTGGTTAATTATTGTACATTTAGTTAGCTGACAAAATTAAGTTTGACATAAATTTACATACTGAAATTTTGTTAGTGTTAATCTGGGCATAGTATGCTTCTCGGATATTCCTGGGCTTATTATAGTCATAATTGTCTGTAATTGTAAATTTTCGGCTTCGTTGGCGTTTGGCTGACTAACGACTATAAACATTTCACCGTGTCATCAACCGTTTTTTTCTGGCATGCCATTAACAATTACATTTAAATATGGTATTGCTGTTACTGATGCGTGAGTTCTTTTCCGTTTCTCATATTTGGTACAAAAGTTAGACATTATAAATAAGTTACAAGATGAATTCCAATGTAATGTAACCGATTACCCACATATGTATCTAGGATATGCTTTGTCCGATCGCAATCGAACATCAAGTCATATCTCTATCATAATAACTTGATATTTCTCTGATCAGATTTAAGATGGATGGATGCAGATTGCAGATTCAATTCAAAATTACCAAATGGCCGCCATTGTCTTGTAAGAATGTTGTTCCGGGGCCACATAGCTAACATGTCTTGATGACCATGCTCAAAGATTGCATATCTATATGCACGTGCCTTCATTTCATATTCAAATTGAAGATAGCAATATGGTGCCCATTCGATGGATAACAATCATCATAATCAGGCATTTCCGCCATTTCAGAACCGGTTCTCTGTCGTACATGGACAAATTGGTTCACACTAGATGGAAATACACAGGCTGAATCACGGACAACACAAACAACTTAGCGCTCGATTCAATAAGCAACAATGATGCAGCAGATTAAAGGGATGTGTTCCTGCATGGCTACTATAATAAAAACTAAGCTTGTAGAATATCTTCCAAACTTGTAATATTCTGTATGAATTATGTAAGAGCTGTTTGGTTTATATCTGTAAACCATCTTACACTCATCGTTTAATTATATGTTAACATACTCGAATGGGTATGATAGCTACTTGTTAACAAAATGATGATGATGTTCACATAGTTGTTGTAAAAATATCTTACTTGCGCACAATTTCTGAAATAATTTAGAATGCATTTTTTTTTTTTTATTTAGCTCTTAATTTATGAACAAATCCGCGTAAATAAGTGAATTTCCTGGAGTCACAAATGTGTAATTGTTGACGAAATAGACATTTTTTTCTCAAAAGTAAATAGGATCAAAAATTATGTTGTGCATCGTATATGCAATGATCTATGGGATTATCACACGTGGTTGTGGGCAGTCCCTAATTTGTTTTGTTGAACAAAGATTAGTTACAATTAATATGAGAAAGTGTTTTGCACATTGGCCATTTTGCCGGCTCGAGTAATTCAATAGAACACTGACTGTGATTCAGCCAAGCAACTCACAAGTACAAAATGATTGGTCAACTCGGGAAGATTTATGGAAAACCACCAGTTTATTAATGTCAACGCCCCATTTCTATACAATACTTGTACACTCATACTCTAATATCGAAATCATTGCAATATAATTTATAAAACAAATACATGTTTCAGCTACATTACTTTGTGGTCAGTAATTTCAACTTTAACCTCGGGCGAACTCTCAATAAATAAATATATATATATATATAAATTAATTAATAAATAAATAAAAATACAATTGTTCATTAAATATTGTTTTAGAATGATAAGAATATTAAAGGTACTTTTTTGGAACTGTACCTTGGGAAGATTTTCTATAATGATTTTTTTAACTTTCGATAAAAAACTTCGGTTGAGACTAACATACACTGTTCTGATCATGATAAGACGAAGCACTTCTGTGACGCTATTGGGATAGGGGGCGCAACTTACTAGAATTTGCGACTTTAAAAAGGTATATTACGCCTCATAAATGATTTTTTGACCTTGGGAGTACAAAGGCAATAAAAACAGGAATAATTTATATTCTATATGTCAATTCATTTATCGGTAATTGCTATGCGAAGTGCGCCCTCGCAGGGGTTGTTGAGAGCGTCTGCATCATCACGTGATAAATAGGTTCTCATAAATGATGCAGACTGATTGAGCAGATGGCCTTAAGGATAAGATAAATACCTCGTTTGAAAAAAGAGCGAGTCAACATCTTCATCGGTTCAATTATACAGAATCCTATCATTACACAGCCATCAATCACTGATGTGTATTGCCGTGTAACCGTGATACGGCAATAGTAATGTGAAAACAAACTGTTAGAAAAAGTGACATATACCTTAAAAACAAGTTAAATCTCGAATGATCGCACTGAAGAAAACTGTGAGGCGTGGTATGCTAAAAGGAAAAACATACCCTTCAGATGCTGTACATAGTTGTTTCCTACTCAATCTTCCAAACATCGAACCCCTTATTTCATAGTCTGTACGAACGATTTTTCTTGTCAAACGCAACTGTGCTGATCGATTGCCGCGAGGAGCAATACTCTATGGAGGAAGGTAAAGGAATGAGCGGCGACTACGTGTCCGGATTTTAAGTTAAATTTGTTGTTAGCCTGCAGTCTTCTTTCTGTCATATCCACATTTTGAAAGCATATCCAACCAGACATGCAGGTGTCAGATTGTTACTCGAGTACTGTGTAGTATTTAGAGCAGAATTACATATATACGACAACACTGGTGAGCGGTGAATTTTCGCCGTTTCCCTCCTTTCTTACGTAAAGCACTTCACAATTATTCATCATCTACCGCCTGACTCAAAATAGATTCAGGAAGTATCACAAAGTTGTTTCGAATATGTAAGTCAAATCCTAAATTGTGACTTTAGACATTCTATATCATCAATTTCTGAAAATATTGTAACTATTCATCTTTAATTTAAAGTAAGAAGAAACAACTGTATTGTTTTCAAATCTTTACAAAATATCTAAAAATGGTAGTATTCTTAGCGTAACTATTGTTCCACTGTGGAGAATGTGCGCATGATTAGCGTCTGTCATGGAGTCGACACCAACACCGATATATATATATTATTATATTACATAATATTCCGAATCATTTACTCATATTGTATATACATTTAATAATTAATACTTGTCAATTCCAAATTAATAGTTAAGTACACTTGTTACGTAAATATATTATAATAATAATATTAATACAATTATTATTTTGAAAATAATTCAATTTGGATAGGTTTTGAAAGACTTTTCAAGATGCGAGATATTCAGGTGATCCGTTGACATATTTCACGGATGAATGTAATATTTGCATTTATGTACAATGCAACATGTCTCACATGACGTGCCATGCATGCGTAGTTCTTTGTTCAACCATAGTAAGGTAAACTGAATGCTGAATCATTATTTGGTAATAACACAAGTTATGTATCTACTTTGTACTGGGCATGAATGTAGTTTCTTCAAATTTTGATCGTATACAGATACATTATTGTTTTTTTCTGTACTGTACATTCTTTCATGATCTTCGTGTACATCGCAATGTCTTGACGATGAAGAATTATTACTGTCCATTCATCATCATTTGCCATAATCGCAGTATCATACATAACCAATTTATATTGCTTCCCCGTCTCCACTGCCATTATATCTATAAATGACAACTGCCCAGTCATACATGCGTTGTAGTAATGTTATTGTACGAGTTGGGCACGGCGCTACTATGGCAACGCGGCCTTTGTGACGAAGTTGAATCTTGCAGCTGAGCCTCTTTGGTGAAATCGGAAATGTGCGAACATGATCGACTGAGGGAAAGAAATTTGATTTCACCGTATAGAGACTCGTCGCTTGTTCTTGCCTGGCTTTGGTCTGTAACAATAATGAAACGTAGAATTACTGTCTTCTCAATACAAAGCGCCATATATTGTAAAACTAATTGGCCGATCGCCACATGTTGTAAAACTGATTGGTTGATCGCCATATATGGTAGAACTAATTGGTTGATCGCCATATATGGTAAAACTAATTGGTTGATCGCCATATATGGTAAAACTAATTGGCCGATCGCCATATATGGTAAAACTAATTGGCCGATCGCCATATAAAGTAAAACTAATTAGTTGGAGTGCCATATATGGTAAAACTAATTAGTTGGAGTGCCATATATAGTTAATGTGAGCATTACATTCGAATAATTACTTAGACTGAAAGATATTGTTTTATTCTCAATTCTCTTGGGTAGTGAATAAGCCTATTTACCGGCAAATCAGTTTCTCATACGACATGGAAGTGTATTGTTGGATTTGACATTATAACACGCCTTTGTACATAACTGTACGAATTAGCAGAATATGTCGAATAAACAGTTTTTTGCCGTTCAGTTCACAGCGATTTTCACATCTATAATTTGTCTTCATTGGACTGTCACATCCAATTGAAGCCACACTCTCATGGGGTACACATATCGCAATTAAATAAACTTAAAATTAAGTAAATCGATTCTGACATGTGTACGTGTCCACACTATAACGACATTACACCAATTTACCTTCGCTTTCCGATGAAAGAAGACTGACTTTGGTTTCATCTAGTACTTGACTATGATCGATATCGACATTGGAGTACGACACCTCGCTGTTTAAGTCCAGATATTCCTGTAAATGATCAGAGGATGTGTATCATCAATAAAAACAAAGCAATGTTTACCACTTCGAAATGGTATCTTTGCTGAACAATTGTTTTTGGATAAATATTATCAACACCAAATACGAAGTCGATCTATAGGACGAGATGCTACAGGTTTGTATTGTATGTTATATTATTATAAACCTCTTAGTTTATAAGTCTAATAATTTTCCCCGCATGAAAATCTTTGCAACAAATTGCCCATTCGTATGTATTTTTTTTTTTTTACAATTTCAGAATAAATGACATCATTTCCTATTGGCTTACATGTCTTAGTCAAACGGGTTATATGGATTTTTTTTGAAAAAAAGATGACAACAGTTTACTTTAGCGCTCAAATGGCTAATTTAAAACCGGAATAAAGGACGGCACACAAGTAGGTTAGACTTGCAGTACACACGTCGACATAGTGCTCAGAACATCACATGTGGTGCTATCATGTCCAACAGCTCTCAAATGACTACGTTATTCTCTGACTCACAGATGGCCATGTCTTAACGCAGAAACTCACCGTGCTTTGTTCCAGCATATCTTCTAATATTTTCTTCAATTCTGTAAATGTTGGTCTTTGCGAGGGACTGTTCTGCCAGCACATTTGCATGATGTCATATCTGAGTAGGCCAACAAATAATAATAATAGATTTGGACGGGAAATAAACTTTAATGCATCCGATATGAGTTTATACATGTTACGAACTACGCAGAGTGTCTGTACTTACACTTCATCTGAACAAGTGTCTGGTTTATCCATTCGATAGCCTGTTTTCAGAAGGTGAAACAGCCGCTCTGGTGGAATTCCTGGATACGGTGTAGCCCCTTAAGTGAATACAAATATATTCATTATTAAGCTATAGTGAGACTCTTTTAAGCAAATGAAAATAGAAAACTAAAGTAGTCGAATTCTTATTAAATTTCGATATATCATACAAATAATTAATGTTCTTGTTTTTTGTAAAATAACAAGAAATACACACGTGTTCAAGTTGGAATAAATGATTTCCTGCTCACTGCGAGATCTCGCGTATTGCGACCGAACGTCTGCCGCAAAAATAGAATGATTAGATTTTGTACTTGAATTTCTGTCTTTTAGCGCAGTTTTGACATCGTGTTCAGATACCATTATTTCGTCAAAATTGACCATCATCAATTGATATAAGCACATTTTTCGTCAAAATTGACCATCATCAATTGAAAAAGCTTGAAAATACACAAAACAACGTGCTCGTTTTCCGAATCCCACGCGATGTTTTGACGGAATTACGTCACTATGAAATTGCTTCTCCTGTTTTTACATTTGATTTCACGCTCAACGCGGGATCTCGCAAAAAGCAGAAACGGTCTATTGGTGTAACAGTCACATTTTTTTGGAAAAAAACTGTGATATATCATAGTTACATCTACAGTCGAAGTCGCAGTCATAAATCTATAAAGTTTGTCAAGATTACTAATCTTACTAAAAATTAGAACTAACGTATCCATAGAATTTTGTTCAACCCATGAAAACTTAAAATGTGAACAATGTGCGCAGACGATAATGTTCAACTCGCGTTACTTCGCTGTCGTGTTTCTAAGATTTGTTGTGAATTCTAAAGAAAGGCATGGCTTGAGCATTATTTTACCACACACATCAAGCGTCATCATGCATAATTAACCACATGGCCTACAACCCAGTGACGTCATTTGTGAATCACGCCACTCTCTCCCTTATTTAAAAAATGCGATTCAAATAAAATAATGTTTGCAAATGCAACACAAGTCTTGGTTATGAAACCACATGCTATAGCTGCGGGACATATGAATAATAATCATGTTCTAACGCGCATGCGCAACCACATATATGGAAATTGAAAAAAAGAAATTAAAACGAAAAATACATCAATACAATTTCAACGCAAATATCATTATAAATTGAATGCACATTCCACGATGCTTTGCGGTTTATTGATAATGTACGAACGTGATGAAAATCTCACGAAACCAAATTAAATGACAAAAATAAAGAAAGATGTGTGAATCATGAAAGCGCGTGTTTATGCATACAGTCATCATCACAGGTGAGTCAATCTCAAGGGCGTCTCAACGAACTGAAATTTCCAGCACGAACTTTTTTCTAGCGATGATTATTTTGCCCTTCAAAATGTACTCGCACCATAATTCACAATTATTGTTTTGGCGTGTTTGTTATATTTCCGTCCAATCATGTCGCGCCATCTATCGACAGCGTTTTTGTGGCGTGAATGTGAAAATGCATGACGTTCATTTTTTTTAGAGATTTGTAATATACTATCTGGCGAACGAACGATTACAAAGCCAAACAAGTTGTATACTTCTACGTTATGTTGACGTTGCCGCAGTGTCTCGTTGCTAGACAAGGCGTTTATGAACGGTTTATTGCAAACCGTCTCGTATTTCAAGTCTAGCTCGTTGTAGTTATACTCGCCGAGTTCCGAACGCTTATCATCACCTTGAACAATCGTGGACTAGACTGGCTTATTGTGAAGTCATCCACTCACAGTAAGGCGTGGCATTTAGTTTATTGTAAGGGCGTTCGTGTGAAAGTAAAAGCGATGTTACAGTTTCTCATCGAAATGCTACAATTATACCACAGCCCGACTCACGAAACTTGCAAAAACTTTGCCTCCCGCGGTAAACTGTATATTCACTGATGTAATTACGATGATATCACCGAATTGAAGTGTTGTTTTCAATTTTCTTCTCAAGGTCAAACTAATTCGTACTAAAAATACAGTTCTTGCACCCAATTACGCAGCTCTTGGCAATGCTGTAATTGAGATGTATTTTGTACAGCCTTCTTTTGCAGAACAATTTCAAACGAAATCGAATGTGAAATGATCTGAACGTGCCGTTTCAATGTGTTCCACGGAAAACATTATCATGTATTAAGAAAAGTAATTAAGTTCAGTAACCCTGTTAAATTGCGCAATTTCGATTTAATATATACCTGTTATTAAAGTAGTTTTTCTCAAACGTTTTTACGTGTTGAAAATAAAAATGTTCAATCTCCGCTTGTGAACAACTCGGATTTCAGCTCATTTTTCTTTTTATGTTCGAAAGTTTATGTAGCTTGAAAAACACCATCATTTCCAGGAAAAAAAAATAATTAACGTTTAGACTTTTTTGTGTTGCAATAGTAAAATTAAGCGTGCTATTTTTCTTTCTGTTTTAGTGACATAAACATTGCATACGCTGACGGTGCTTAGTACTTGGATTTCAGCCGACAACTCGATCACTGAAACATATAACGGCTCTCTGAACAACGTTCAAACTAAACTATGAACGTTAAAGCGCGGTGTTCGTCGAACAGCGCGTGATCGAATTTCATGTAAATAAACAATGTTTTTTACACGCGTTGTATACGTCGCTATGAGTCCCATATCGAACAGGACGCGGAACGACGACTGTCGCCCTTTAATGTCATTTTGCCGGATTAAATAACAAGTAACTATGAGCAAATATTATTATTTCTAGTAACAGAAAAAACAGAAGACACCAAAAAGCACACAACACAGGGTCCTTATGACCTGATTTATATATCAATAGATTTTCAGAAGAAGAATATTTTGAAAGAGACAAAACAATACACCAAGTCAAGAAATTATCTTTGAGTTCCTGTCAGTTGTCTCAGAAATAAAGAAATTGCGAATTGAATTGAATTGAATTGAATTGAATTATCAAGATACCATCACTGCCAGTTCATGATTAATTTGCGAGCGCAACGAGAACGGCCGAAGCCCGCTTGCGAAGTCAGCTCTATCGATAGCATACAGAAGAGTATGGAAAATACCTATATACTATATATATTTGAAAAAGGTGCACTTCCGGTCAATGGACGCCGCCATTTTGTTTCACCAATTATGCGTAGCGAAACAGCTCATTCATGATAAAACATCATTATGATAATGTGCGAGGATGAGACAATCGTTTCCTGGAAACTGAAAATAATTTAACTTTGAATGGTATTTCGCGTCTTTTTCAACAGCGGCGACACTCGAGTCGTGCGAGGCGCCATCTTGAAACACGCTGAACTCGCGCACCGGGCGTGAACCTTGATTCCCGCAATTCATGCGCTCGAACAGTTCACGCGCTTACGTCAGTTAGTCATCTTACGTCTGCGGACCCTTGCCAGGCATTGCCTGCTACGTATTCCATTCAATAAAATAAATAAATCTCAGAATACCAACATTGTTAGCCCAAAGTTTCCAAATAGTACACAAAACACGAACATAGAGGCAGCCATATTAATGATACAACTATTAGGGAGTAGTAGCGAGGTGTGTCGACGCATAAATTGATGTGAGAACTCTAATTAAACAGTAGAGAAAATTCATAGCTAGCTTTAATTTCCATATCCTATATGAACAAAAATTAACGTGTTCATTGCCACTGATGTAATCCAGTCCGAGCTAGTTCACCAAACATGCCTCTACACAATCAATAGCAATTGGTATGCGCGTTTCGTAATATTGGCTACACAAGTACATAATTGTATTCAAAATTGGTTTTAAAATAGTTTCTAAACTTCACACTTGTTGGGCAACATCGACAGTTCAGTGTAAGATAAAAAATCAATACTTTTAGTTTTGGGGTTGGGAGGTTAACCCTAAATAAGCTTTTATTTGACTGAAACGATTTTATTTTTTTAGTCTAGTTGAGATGTTGCTTGGAGTGGCAAATTAGACAATCTGATACTGCGTTAAGTTGTGTTATTGTGTGTTACGTTGTGTTGCGCTGCGTTCCACACACCGAATCCCACCATCAGTTATAATAGGTGGTCAACGTATCAACACATTTTAAGTCATCATATATATTTAAAATAAAATGGTAATATGCAGTTGTAAACATCAGACCGTCGGGGCGCAGTGTCAACTTAGCTCAATGTTACCTTTATCTAAACCAGTCCCTGTAGTGGACATCCTAGATGCAAGGTCACTAGGTTTAACTTGTCAAATACATTGCAATGCGCCTGTCAGCATGTTGGAGCAATCGCTTTACGCATTTGAATACAGAGTCAAATCCGGAAAGTAGCGTGTACACAACTTTATCATTTGTTCATTGGTTTTCATTTTAATTGACGTTTCGGACTATGACGTGTACACAACTTTATAATTAGTTCATTGGTTTTCATTTTAATTGAACTTTTGGAATATGACGTGTACACAACTTTATCATTTGTTCACTGGTTTTCAATTTAATTGAACTTTTGGACTATGACGTGTACACAACTTTATCATTTGTTCACTGGTTTTCAATTTAATTGAACTTTTGGACTATGACGTGTACACAAGTTTATAATTTGTTCATTGGTTTTCATTTTAATTGAACTTTTGGACTATGACGTGTACACAAGTTTATAATTTGTTCATTGATTTCATTTTAATTGAACTTTTGGACTATGACGTGTACACAACTTTATAATTTGTTCATTGGTTTTCAATTTAATTGAATGTTTTGGAATGATTTAAACATGTAAACATTTCAGATAAAACAATAGAAAAAATATAATATCAAGATTGTGCAAACCGTATTAGGGCACCGACGTCACTGGTTGAATCATTAGTAAATTTAATTTAATTATGACTTACATTTATATAATGTTCGGTGACTGGAGCAGGATGTGCTCACGGTTTTCGAAAAAAAAAATAATGATTAAAATACACTATGCTTGTCTGTTGCATCAGTCTTGTTCTGTTTTGTTTTGATGGACTTCCTTAAATTCTTTAATACAAATCATGAATTTGGATATGATGAATCTGCTAGAAAATATTTTGGCTATTTATGTTCTGCATGCAACAAAGTACACTTTTGGATAAAGGGATTGACACTTATTCAGTTTTACACTCACAGTTTTGCTAGTCTTATGCATAAACTACGCTCAAAACATAATGCATCCCGGCCAACGGGAATGCTCCACTACATAAATATGAATACAAATGAATACTCTTATATTTCGGGTATATGCAGTAAAATCGACATAAAAAGAAGACAAAGAAAGAAGAAAGTATTGTGGGGCTATACACATTTTATTATGGCCATGTTTAATGATGTAAGAGTATCTAAACTGTTTAAAACGAAATAAACTTAGCTATTTGAAATAATGGTTATCAATGTATCTCTAGACGTCATACATTTTTTCTGTTTACATTGAAAGTAAGAAATGGATCGTTGAAATGGACGATACGTCAATTAGTACTTAGTATGACAATTTTGTGAATGTCACGCAACACAAACAACGTACATTACAAGCTCTGTATATTCATATGGGACACATATCGAATACGAGAACCGATGGCTATAGTGATTAAAAGCATTATTTCATGGGAATCTTAATAATTCCCCAACAACATTAATTACCCATAATATAACTTACGATTTTCAAGTTGTCCCCTTAGGATTCATAGCGACATTGAAATATTATGAGATCTGATTACCATGGTAACCCATGATGAACTACTCAACAATTGCCATTTTCATAGATCTTTCACCACTTTTTTTGTGCGAAAAAAAATTATTTGGCATATGCGAATAGCAGCATAGGTTAAATAAATATATTGTAAAAATCGAGGAAACTACCTCAATTATATTTTCCAAAAAAATCAGACTAAAATCAAGTGATCAGAAAGTAAGGGAAATTACCTAATGTATAAATCTCCCAAAGTAGAACTCCAAACGACCAACTGAAAAAAAAATATGAACACTGTTAATGGTTTCATATAAGAATTAACGACTCTGTTAGAATGCGATACGGGTTCTCAGGAATTGGTTGATAAACGCGAGTTTTGTATTAGTTTTACATCGACAATTTTGGTAATAGATACATTGGCAAGTCTAAGTATGACTGGCTACTTCTAAAGAACCAATCAATTAAATCTATATATATATATATATATATATATATATATATATATATATATATATATATATATATATATATATATATATATATATATATATACACAATTCCAATTATAATACGCTTATATACTTAATTGTATTTACTCATTTATTTGGATATTATTATCTGTATATATGTTTTATAGTGAAAACAAAACGTCAAACTTCTAAACTTCAATTGAATGCGTTGCCAGGAGAACAGTTCTAACATGGATAATTCGAATAATACCTACAAACTTAAACTTGCCCAAAACCAAGTAGAATCATCCTGAAATAGCGATTACTTTAAAGATACAATATATACGAGCAGTGTGTAACACACCATCAGACATGTGAAAGTGGCTTAGTGTGACGTCATCCACGTCGTATATTCTCTTATAGTCAAATTGTCATTATAATCGAATCTGACATCAATTACGTCATACGTTACACAAACAGTTACTTTCATGTCACTATTTATTGAGTACTTACACGTCACTTTTTGTTGTGTATATTTGATCATACAGAGATTCAACAGCCATCCATTTGACAGGTATGCGACTCTGAAACATAAACGCCATCGGTTAATTACTTATGCGAGTAATACAACTTGAAGGACAAGAGGTAACTTCCTAACAAATCGCAAAAAACCATCTATTTTATATAACTTCCCTCCACATTTTTGTAAATATATCAAAAAAGTCTAGTTATTTATTATTTGACTACTCATTTTTTAATATATCTTATCAAATCTATTGCAAACAAGGAACGCAAATTCAACATAATATGGGTGGCTTTTGCGCAGTGATCTGAGTTATATTTGATGTAAAATAACAATTATTAGACGTTTGTGTATGTAATGATTATATCTATCTTTTTAGGCATGGTATCCTTTATGCATTTATTCATGGTTTATATATCATGCAACTTAATCGAACATAATTTATTAAAATCGATTAATCATGACCGACGGATACTTCGCGAAAAAAACAATACTACATCAGTAATCCAAGTGTGTAAACACGAAGATTAATTTTAACATCTATACTGTTCTCAAAAATGTGCCATATAACTTAAGTAGTTTTTTCAAACAAACATATTTAGATGTGATATCTCGATGTGTTTACGAATGATCTTAGTATTTTAACGAGTCTCGAAGCGACGAGTCGCAATGCCGAGATCACATTTGTTCAGCACGGACAGTGAAATCAAAGGGACCGTACGTTCCATGTACGATAAAATGCCATAAATAGTAATGTTTATTAAATTATTTACAAATATCATAGTGGAGCATTTCAGTATTTCGTGGAAGAAATAAAATCAATCTCCTTATACGTATAAAATATTCACTTCTTTATGTAACTATATAATGTGTTACCAATAATGCGAAATACATCTTTGTATGCGTGTGCATATATGCAAATAAGATTGTACATGACTCAATCCTATTAAATACGACATACATATTAATATACGTCAGCACCTTCTATATAGACGTTTAATGTTCTCATAATCCAATCTTGCTCGTAAATTTTGGGGAAGAGTATACCATTTAGTCCTTTGTGTGTCAGAGTTTGGAGATGTGTAATTATTTAACTGCATACAATTGTCATAATTATATATTCATAATCACTGTCATATTTCAAATGAATGTGTGTAATGGACAGTTTTATCAGTCGCGCCCTCTCGCGACGAATCACTTTCGTGACGTAATGTTCTAATGACGAGTGACTGAACATTTAAACAGTTGAATGGCATTTCGAACACCTATAGCGTCACAGAATCACTTCACGCCAGAGAAGGCGACTTGTGTACTCGTACCGTCCCACTAGATTTATGTAAGCAATAATTTAATTTCATTTCACATGACATCAATTCGTGCGTGTTTGGGGAGGACAGGTTACTAACCTTGCTGGTTTTGAGGTAAGCATCACTTTCGTAGATATCACGTGTTAATCCGAAGTCTGATATTTTCATAATTCTTCCTTCCGAAACCAAAACATTGCGTGTAGCCAGATCGCGGTGGACGAGCTGAAATATACAATACGCGAACACGTGAATTCCTTTGTAATTATGTTTTTTATGTGGCATATCGATATAGGATATTTTGGCTGTACACAATATATTTGTTATAGGATAAAATGATGAATTAAAAAGCGCGCACGCTTTTAATTGACGATCAGTACTATTAATTAAAAGCGTCTGGGTTTTTAATTTTTGATACGTACTATGAATTCAAAAAGCATGCACATTTGCCCAGTTTATTAAACGAGTACTATTTCATGCAAAACAAACTTGATTTTTGTTATGATGTCATAGTTAATCAATATAATACAATAATATTGAAGAAAAATAATAATGATACTACTCGGGTTACCCGGACTATATGTATTTTAAAGCGCCACAGTCGTCAGCAGCGCACTTTTGAATTTCTTATGAACAAACAATATATTTTACACGCGTTGTATACGTGTATATGAAACTCATATCGAACACGAAGCGGTATTTTGATTGTGGCACGTTGAATAGTATCATTAGATTTTTGTCCAATGACAAAATAGTTTCCTTCTTTCCCTCATATCATCATCATTTGTGCATCACTGATCGGATTTATATATCCGTTTGTCTGAGTAATAAAATAACAAATAAGAGAAAAAAATACGTGTACCTTCATATCGGACAAATATTCCATTCCTTTGCATATCTGCCACGAAAACGAGACTAGGTCACGTGGCGTTACTGTTTGTTCCAACGTACACGGAATCTCGTCCGCGTAGGCGGTAGACTCATCGTGATAAGAACCACACTCTAGCTGTCTAATCCGCCGTAGATAACTCCGTAGTGAACCATCATTACAAAATTCAACAATTACATACAGGGGACCTGTTTACGAAAACACATAATCACGTGTTATAGATGTCATATCATGAGGACATGTGACTGTTGTCGTTGCCTACTGCATGGTGACGAATACATTGGATTACGATTTAATACGAACTAAACACGTCGTTTTTGTAGTACACAACTAAGGGTTCGTTTGTTTAAACAATTACATTTTCTAACACACCTGTGTACTTATCTAAGCGCTCATTGACGACTACTACGCATGCGCATTAACGTTTTCCTTTTTTTCCCATTAAACACATACTATCGTATGTCATTTGCAAATATTAAAGCAACAATTTCAGTTTACGATAAATGATAATATAATGTCGTCGTCAACATCAGTATTAAACAGTAAAGTAGAGGGGTCGTCACCTGCGCACACGCAGGAATTGAGTTGAAAGGCTCATGGGTAGACGCGTGTTTGTAAACAACGACACGCTTTCATGCGCAGAGGAGAATCCCCCGCTTTAATACATGTTTTCGTCCATATCGCATTTTTAATGCGTCCAGTTGCGGGAATTAATGATGATAACTATGAGAATAACGAAGAAAATCACGCGAGTGATAAATAAATAAATAAATAAATAAATAAATAAATAAATAAATAAATAAATAAATAAATAAATAAATAAATAAATAAATAAATAAATAAATAAATAAATAAATAAATAAATAAATAAATAAATAAATAATACTCAGTACAAAATTTGACATTATATTATTTATAATTTAAATTGAAAGGCGATGCATGGACTTCTTGTCGACGGAAACGTAAACACGATGTCCACAATTACAGAGTCAATATAGCCTTATAAGTCACGTGCGTATTGAGCGATTGTTGTTTGAACACTACGATATAGATTTTTGAAAAGTACCTCATAATAATCTAACAATCGTTACATTAGACGTAATCGATTCGTTTCATGTTTATTCATTTCAAATCGATTACCATTAAATCACGCAGCCGCGAGAAAACAGTCACGAAGTCGTAACACAAACAATAACAACCGAGCGAAAATCTTGTTATGAACAACATCCTGTTTGGTGCTCATTTTTTCGTATTTTCTGTGAATTTCTCGAATTCTGTTACAATTTGACAAATCATAGATTATTTTGATATATATATATAAATGTGTGTGCAAGGAAATATGACAATAAAACAACTGACTTCGACGGTAAAAATACGCCAGCCCCTGAGGCGTTATGTAGGTTTGTGTACTGATATAGAGAAATAGACAATACACATACCTTTCTGGGTACATGCACCGAGTAGCTTAACCACATTCGGATGGTTTACCTGTTTCAACAAAGACAGCTCAGTCATCAGGTCTCGCAAATCGTGTTCGTTCCCAGTGTCTGTAAAAACAGTGAATACACCAATACATATAATAAGTAGCCTGTAATAACAATACCGAACATACCACCACTTTTTTTTAAAACATCTCATGTTGAAAACACAGCAGCACAAAATTCGTAGCTTAAGCAGCTTTCTATGTGAAATCGAACGTAAATACAGGACAAATAGGCATTTCGACATTGAACTATAAAAATGAGAAGTTCAAAGTCAATCATTCAATTTTTGTGGCAGTCGTTTTATCCGCGTCTTTCGCGCATTACGCGAGATCTCGCAGTGAACGGAAATCACCTAATAAACCTCACTGATTGACAGTGATAGAAACGACTGACCTTTTGTCATTTTCACCGCAACTGCTGTATATCCAGTTAACCCTCTAATATTGAGTGCCTGTGCTGCCATCACCCGACCAAATTCCCCCTCACCGACGACTTTTTCGAACAGAAGGTTCGTTCTTGGAAACTCCCATTTCGCGTCATACTGAAAACACAAGATAGACGGTGAATGTAAAGCCATTAGTTTAAATTATACGTTTGCATTCAATTCGAAGGTTTTTATTCTAATAAATCGTATTCATCAAATGAATTAACAAAATACGACAATATTTAAATAACATGGACTTTCTTTAAATAATTTTCGAATAATTTAAATAATTTTACAGTGAAATGAATGAACATATTGTATGGAATTCCGCTCGTTATTCATGACACTAATTATTGTAAACTATATATACAGATCCGAGGAAATGAAGAACGCGCATGTTTTATAATTGCCATTCATTAGTAATTTCATATATTATTATACATCTGTCACCGTAACGCCATAAGTTACAGCGTGTCGTAATTTTGCGGTATTTAACGGGGTATTTTCATCCAACCATATTAGGACATGCGAATTCTAAATATGGAATGATTACGCATGTAAGCGTCCTCTAATAATAAAAACAAACATGGCTGACACCAGAGTTCGACCGGACTCCACACAAGGAAGTTCGCTGATTCTGTTCTAAACTTTGTGGATTTTGGCATTCCCATGATGTATCCTTGGAAGGAAAAGATGTATAATAATAAGGTTATTAGGAGGTTACCTCAAAGTACGCCGTCGCATTGACTCCCGCTGCGCGTCGGTCGATACTCCCGCTGTACTGTCTTCGTGCATACTTTGAGGTATCCTCGTAATAACCTCATATTATACCTATAGTATTTTCTTTCATGGACAACTTCCCTTAGTTAGAATATTTATTATCTAAGAGTAAAGCGAATACCCACGTGGTTATTGCAACTAAAGTAGTTAACTCGTGTTATTTTCTCAGATTACGTCAACAAATCTTAGTCATGATTGTAGATGAATCACTGCGGACACGGTCCCGGCTTGTACAGACAATATTTAAACCTAGCTCTTATTTTCAAAATACCGAATCAAATACATTCACCTAAAATCGTGTGTTAGATATATATTCGTGGACTATAATGTGTAACATGACTATCACGAACTTGATGGAATAAAATGGCGGATTGTGTGAGGTAATCTGACAAAATACCACGTGACACTGAACTTACAAACGATTGGTTGGGCGCATGTCTTGTACTTACTTCCGCTTTGCATTTATGATAGCCCAAAAACCTCGGAACAGACAATTCAACCGAGGCGTGTGATGCCGAATTACTCTCCATAACATAATCTGACGGCACCGTGCTTATTGAAACCATGTCCTTGGAGTTGTAGTTCTTTGAGCCTCTTTTTCGTTTTCTATGCTGGTTATAACGTATAGACGCCATAGTAACGACCAGAACGACAGACGCCGAACTTACAAGTAGGGCGATTAATGTTTTACAATCGCCATCGCAGGCAGAGTTAGGTTGGATTGTCTTGAGTGGATATGTATCGCCATTGCCTGTATATATAATTCAAATTCAAATAATTTGTATTAGGGTAAGTTATCAAAATGAACTTCATCAATTATATAGCTGGTTTATTTATTTAGTTAACTGTTCAATTATAGGCAAACGGCTTCGAAGGGTCGCATGCAGTGTGCGTTCGAATTTCGTGTAACACATCGAGACGTCCATTGGCATACGTTTAAAATATTGGCCTACGTTAAAACTATTGGCCTACGTTCAGTAATACACGATTTACACTGTATGTGACGGAACCTGTTTCTGTTTTAACTTTACGAAAGCTCTTGGCGTAGCGCGTCTTGTTTGTTTACACGAAATTCGAACGGGGACTTAGCATCAACAATGGATGCTGGATAATTGAAAACGTACTTCGGAAATTGAGTTGAAATCTGGGTGGGGTTTACGATATTTCCATTCCCTATTTTGACTATTAAATTTCGATACATCATTCATCTATTTAAGTATAAATATTCTGAGATATATGTATAATGTTGAATTATGTACCTATAATTTCACTGCCAGTTACACGCAACACCAAGTATGGGTTAAAATTATTATAGTTTGACACGCCTCTTCAATAACGCTTTTTCATTTAAGTTTATTTCAAGGGATGAAATAATTGTATTTTTTGGACAGATTATTGTTTTCATTTCCGGATTAATGTACAACACGTTTCTAAAATACTCCTGTCTCTGTCCTTGATGGAAATGTTTTTTTCTGCGCAATTGTGTCTATTGTTATTCTAGTCTATCCACCCGGATATAATAATTTTTATTAATTGGTTCGAATATTTACGTGATGAACCGATGTGTGCAGGTACGTAGGCTGGAGGAGATTCTGTGCTGATCAAATCCAAGCTTGTTTGGTCTTCCTTCTCGTCGTGTTCGTCAAGTGAGACGGGCGGTGGTCCACACACGCATGACGGTTGAGCAGACAAACAAAAACAAACTCCTCCAGCTCTTCTAATGCCTTGTGGGAAGTTAGCCGACACCGAACCCATCACATTTGAATGATCTGTGAATAAATATGAATTACTACTACTCAATAGGCCATATTTGCTAATGGCCGCCGAAATCTCGTTGAGGGTGAGATAGACCCGCGACTTGCTCCCATGTGTCGCCATCGCGTCCACTCTTCCAAATACCTGGGTTACACAACTTTTACAATCGAGTACGTAGACACGATGACGGTAGTGAATAGAACACTATTTAGCTTGCAAAAACAAGTCGCGCGACCTTCTCGCGATCAATGAGATCTCGGCGGCCATTTCCCCATAAGGTCTAATAAATATAATGCTAATGAGATATTACTCCCCGTAGGGTGCGTTTGAATGAATAAGAATTACATTTTTGGATGTTGATATTGATATACTGAATTGCTTCAAGCGGAGGAACAATAATTGCGCACGCACGAGAATTGAGTCGCAAGCGACGATAACAACGCAGGCTAAAATGCAAAGGTCCATGGGTAGATGTTTGTGTATAAAAACGACAAGTTATTGGCGTCTTCCGCATGCATACGCACACCAAATCAATTCATCAATCATAAACTTATTTAGGTGTTTTTGCAAATAAGAAATGTTTTTAAGAAGTGAAAGGCACATGTGGTGTTGGTTTTATCCCTACAAGAACTACAATTTCTGTTTTCAAGTCCAAAGATGAAATTATATTTTAATATAATGTTTCATAGTCAAATATTATAATTATCATTCTCATTTTGTTTGATTTTGTTCTTGTATTGTTATTCAAATTGTCAAAAAATTCTGTTTTTGTACCTGTATTCACTTTTGTAAACCATATTTAGCAAGGACTGGATGCTCGAGTTCAGTTTATAGTGACAATCGAAATAAAGGTCAAATGTTCGCATCTATCACAACAAAGTTTCTGCAAGCACTATGTATGTTACTATTTTCTGATATAACTCACAATAAAAAACGTTTAATGCTATAAATAGCACACTTAGGATGCAACCTGCGCAGACTGACATAACGATATAAATAACACGTCAAATCAAATCGATCTACTTTCAATTTAGAACATTATCGCACAATTCCAGCAATGATAATATTTCAAAGCTAACTGTACCGTCTTTAGTCAATATCGGAAACTCATTAGTTCTAATAGTGAATATGGGTTAATATAATTGTTCCCATTATCACGAGATTAGAGAACATTAATGCGGCGCAAGACCTTTTATGCCGGGGATATTGATGGATAGCATATATTGCTGTATTTGGCAGAACTAGTTAACGTATAACAGATTAAGACCACAATGATTACCTCGCTATATGTAATTATGAAAATGTTTTTCTATGAATTCATTTCATGGTTGGAGAGAATAAATTCATTGGAAATAATATTTTATTTTGCTAAATACTATCGGGTAATTAGGGAAATGCAAGTTAAAAAGAGATTTATACAACATAGCAAATATATTCATTGGATAAATAAATAATCACAAAAGAAAGTTAAAAATACCGTGAAATAGACTTTCGAATAATTTTCGATGTAAGTAGCGGCCTGCTTAAATAGATTTAATCTCACTCCCTGAAGGACGTATATAATATTCTCAACGATTCACGCCGCAATTTGGTCTTACACTTATACCACAGGTCGTTGACTTATGACAGACAAGAGAGCTTACCCACGCAATCCTGCAGACAGATCTTCGGGTGAGCACTCTCGAGAACGTCACATGAATAGTCTGGGCAAGTGAGAATATTCGGAGTGCATGTAGAATAGTCCATGGCTTGCGGCCGATCTCTGTGGAGCCATGTGCACCGTCCATTAGGGGAACCAATGCCACATGCGCTTTCACAGTCTTTTTTAGTTCGGAACATAGAACACTGTTTGGGTTCTGAAATATTTGAAGACAAGTGGTAAGTAGCTAGGAGATTGAGTACATGGACTAAATGATATTACGTGGTCATACTAAACTAACCATGGAACGTTGTGAGGAGATGATTTGTTAACAACAAATGTTATTGTAGAGGGCAAGGGGGGTGAAAATGGAAAGTTTCATTCACAGTAAAAAAAATAGCTTTTTACACTTCACAAATAAAAGCAAATTCCTAATTACATTTTCATAATATTTGTGATAATTTGAGTTTAAGAATCAAAAGCGGAAATTGCGTACGAATTACGACATTTAATTTGGAAAATGCTTTATACGTTAACAAAATATAATATCTTCGTACAAATTACACACAAATAAAATAGCTGATTACATTTTACATCTTGCTCATGTCTACGAATTTACGTTCTTTATTTAGTTAAATTACATTATTACTAAAATAAAAACAATTGCTTACAGTATGCGAAAATACCCCTTGCCGACCCTCGCTAATATTAACGGAATGTCAATCCCAGCTGTGTTATTTCGCTGATACTTTACAACACCACAGCAGTTATGAATCTGTCTGTCGCTATTCTATTCTAGTTTTGTCCGAATCGAGCGTCTTCATGACGTAATACTAAGTAACGTCACTTGTAAACTACCATTCCCCGTGAATTGAGAAGTGAGCTTACGCGAAAATGAGTTACACCCCCCTCAGTAAAATCCTCTTGCTTTTTCAGGTTGAACTAATTATACGAGATTCTGTGCTTTCCCTGTCACATGACTCTGAATCCCTTCTTTCAAAGTAGATGCAACACCAAGTTTGATTTGTTTCTTCTAAACGTACATGTCCATATGATATATAAGCCTATTACAATACCCAATGTTAAATGCATAGAGGTATTAAGATCGTCTATTATAGTGACAAAATGACATTTTCTAAGTACTTAGTAATTATCACTGCGAATGGTCTGTGGTAACCTTGGAGCCGGAATAAGGATTACAGCTTTGTTGTAAACATGCTGATTAGTCACGAAAGAGCGTGAATGACTCGTTATTTCTTTTTATATTGATACCTTGGGGACATCTTGCATTTAATTCGCAGAATATTATTCGCCAGTTGTTGATATATGGAACAAAGTAATAAAATAATTAATACTTACCGCAAGTATTTGTTTCTGTTGGTAAAAAAAAAAAAAATATTTTGATAAATTGATCTGAAATATTTTCTTGTATTACTGAACTACACGAAGCATTGACATTAAAGATGTTAAGAAGATTATAAAGTTGTGAAGATTTATACACACATAGACACAACACGCAGTTCAGAATATCTGCATTTCCATGGTAATTATTTTTGCCTTTGTAACTCGTCGTACTTCGGTGTTTACGATTTGCGCGCGTACGCGTGCGCAGTGACAGGTTGGCAAGAATCGTTCTTTCGATCCGGAGATAAAATCAACACGTTGTTCATTGTTTCCGTTATTGAATATGTATGTACGTATTCCTGTCAATAAAACAACTGGTAGGCAATATTGTCGCCGGAGCTTGATCGGTGAGCGGCGTTTGTTATCACACATTTGCATGCTGGTTGGCAAAAATGTAAACATATGACGTCACAGCTTATAAGAGTCAGCCGAAAAGTGTTCCATTCTATTCCGTCATCGCGTCAATTGTTACCATGGTTACATAGTTCAGAGGAATAGTAGACACGATGATGAGAAAGAATTGAACATTTGCGTCTGAAGAATACAAACACTTTATATTGGAATTGATGTATATACCTATCCACCAATTAGTACATACACTCTAGGCTTTTTACATTTCCATTGTACATGTTATTTGATTGTGTTCAAATGTTTTATTTCAAAACTGAAAATTATTTAACTCATCCTTGTTTAGTGTGAGGAAAATAATTAAGAACATGCACATGCACGTCCAATCAAATAAGCTTCACTACAAAACAAATTACGTAAGTGTACTTACGAGTTGATAACACATCGATAGTCACGTTTGTGGTTATTACGTCTAAACCATTACTAGCTTGCACCTCGAAAACAATAGTCCGATTTTTGCTATGACGTAGTCTAGTTGAGTTGATTACATAGATTATTCCCGATGTGTGTTCTAAAGTGAGACCGTATTCAGTCATCACTGTGTCTGGTGTGACGACGTCATAAACAACTGGCGAATCACCCACGACATACGCTGGCAGGTTAACTTTGATTATCTGCAAGCATGATATACATGTAATTACTTAAATGTCACTCACTAATGGTTATACGCTTAAAGTTGCTAGTGAATATTATACATAGTGATATGCATCCAATCGAAATATTGTGATTCAAACTCGCATACTTTGAAATAGTTTAGAATTCATTGACACACTTGTCAAGACTGAGACGATCAAGTTGTGGAACATGAAGCTCGAATTCCAGAAGACAATAAGACGAATATATACATGTAAACATTAGGGATGTTAATGGACATA